CACACACACACACACACACACACACACACACACACACACACATCCTAGCTTTCTTTGTTCTTTTTTGTTCTGTACATGGAAAAATCTATAGTGGCGCCTTAGATGGTAGCTCACAAGCTTTTAAGGCCACAGACACTGCTCACCAAAAGGAACATTGTCTTTGCAGACTCTTCTGGGCTAATTAGCATGGATATTCCCAGAGTTCCATTAGGGTGCCTTTCTTTAATTCTTAAATTTCACCTATTATACGTCTTTTTTAATTTCACACCCAAAATATCTCTGGAACTTTAATTTTTACCATATCCACTGCTATAACCTCATCTAACATATTGCTATCTACTGTTGGACCATTGCAAATAGAATCTTTTAATTAATTATAGAAAACTATCCAAAAAATTACTGAGAAAGATTGTTTTGTATAAAACAGATAGTTTCATTTTCTGCTTACTCTCCTTCACTATCTTCCTACAAGCTGGGAATTGGCCTTTCAAGAACTGTTCCTGCAGGCTTTTGCAATCATGCTCCACTCTGATTCACTGTACACCAGTACCAATCATATTGACTTTCTTTTGTTTTCTTGAAATTGCAAAGTTTCATGCCTCTAAGTCTTCTCCTAAAATTAATATTTACTCTCTCTGTGAAAGTGTTCTCCTCTGCCATTTTTCTGATTTTCCACTACTGATTTTTAATTTTCATCTTAAACATTGCTTTTACAGATATATATTCTCTACACTACAGCATAATTTATGTTCTCTCATTTCAAATACTAAAAGTAAATGGAACTCATTCTCATTAAATCAATTACAACCTTTCCCATCCCTGTTGTTGTTGTTGTTGTTGTGTACTAGAGTCAGAACCTGTCCATAGTTGACCCTCTAGTGGGTGTCCAGGGCCAGTTAATTGTACCTGAGGAGATAGCTCATCCTTCTCCCACTGAGCAGCTCACTGATTTGAACCAAGTGCTGCCCCTGTAGGATATAGTTAAATGGACTCATGGAGTTCTCTAGGGTGTAATCTCTTTTGCATTCCCAACCTGAAGGTGGGTGGTTCAAACCCATCACCTTCTTCAAGAAAGATGGACAGTCTCCTCTTATGTAAGAAGTACAGCTTTAAAAAAAATCACTGGTGGGTCAGCTATGAGTTGTTCCAGACCCAGAGCAATGAGTTCAAATGAATCTATATAGAAGCAGATTATCATGTCTGACACCCACAGAGCAGCTGATCAGTTAAAACCGCCAACCTTTCCATTAGTAGCCCAGCACTTTAACCACTACACTATCAGGACACTCACTGTTTCATAACGGTCTATTATTTTGATTTCTTGTGCTAATCACCATTTAGCATTATGAGTTTTTTACTTCTTTAAAAAGTACTTTTTTTAGTCTTATTATGCTTAGAAAAATGATAGAAATCACAACTATTTTATTCAGCATTATTCCCAATGGCTGTCACAGTGGTGATTAATTGTAGGCATTTAGGTGTAGATGGTGCTGTCCCTCCACCTTTCCAAGCATGATGTCCTTCACTAAGGATCAGTACCTCCTAGTAATGTGCCCAAAGTATGTGAGACAGACCCTTAAAATCCTTGCCTCCAAGAAGCAGGTTGGTTTCCCTCTCTCCAGGACAAAACTGTTTGTTGTCTTGGTAGTCGAAGATAAACAATCTCCTCCAGCACCACAACTCAAAAAGACTTTTATTCTTTTTCTATGATCCTTATTCATTCCTTGCTCAGCTCTCTCAAGTAATGGCGAAGACCATAGCTTGGATCTGGTGCACCTGAGTCTCTTGACTGACATTGTTGCTCGTCAGTACACTGGAGAGGTCCCTGACAGCAATGTTTCCTAATGCAATTCATCTTTTGATTCCTGGCTATTTGTACCAAGAGTGTTGATTATGGAGCCAAACAAGTCGAAGATCTTAACAATCTCAATGCCTTCTCCATCTATCATGATGCTGCCAGTTGGCCCAGTGGTTAGAGGATCTTTGTTTACTTGGTGTTGAGCTTAAATCCATATTGAAGGCTGCAGTCCTTGACCTTCTTCAGCAAATGTTTCAGATCCTCTTCTGTTTCAGCAAGCAAGATCATCTGCATAGCGCAGATTGTTGATGAGTCAATCTTGATACCACATTTTCATCATAAAGTCCATCCTCCCCAATTATCTGCTCCACATACAGACTGAAGATGTATGAATGATTCAAATTCCAAAATGTCTGTAGATGTTCATTGAAATAAAAAAAAAATAAAGAAATAAATCAAAAATAAAAAGAAATGGGAAAAAAAGATATGGAGATAGAAAGCATCTCTGATGTACACCTTTTCTGATTTTAAACCATGCAGTATTTCCTTGCTCTATTCTGATGACTGCTTCCTGGTCAAAGTACAGGTTTAGCATAATCAAAATTAAGTGTTCTGGGATTCCCATTCTCCTCAAGGTTAACCACAAATTGTTGTGATCCACATAGTGCCTTTACATAGTCAATGAAACACAGATTCCTTTAGTATTCACTGCTTTTCCCAAGATCCATCTGACATTCATACCTATTGCCATAGTCTCTTCTAAATCCAGCTTGTATTTCTGGTAGTTCTTTTTTTATATACTCTTCTAGTGGTTTTTGGATAATCATCAGCAGGATTTTGCTTGCATGTGATATTAATTATATTGCTCAATAATTTCCAAACTCTGTTAGATCATACTTGTTTGATTTTATGTTTTGGGGGATGTTTTGTATGAGAATAAATATGGATCTCTTCCAGTCAGTTGGCCATTTTGTTGCCTTCAGATTTTTTGGCACAAACCAGTGAGCATGTCCAGTACTGCATCTATTTTTTGAAATATGTCAATTGGTATCCATCAATTCGAGGGGTCTTGTTTTTTACCAGTTCCTTGAACCAGCAGCTTGAACTTCCTTCTTCATCTCCATTGGCTCTTGATTATATGCTGTTTCATGAAATTCTTCGGTGTCAGCCAATTGTTTTTGGTACAATGACTATGTATACTCTTTCCATCTTCTTCTGATCGTTCCTTGGTCATTCAACATTCTGCCCTTTGCATCATTAAGTATTGCAACTTGAGGCTTGAATTTATTCAGCAGTTCCTTCAGAGTATGAAATGCAGTCTGGCCCTTTTGATTTTCTGACTCCAGTTCTTTGCACATTTTATTATAATACTTTGCTTTGTCTTCCCATGATGTCCTCGGAAATCTTTTTATTCAGCTCTTAAACTTCTTGATTTCTTCCCTTTGCTCTGGCTTCTTGGTGCCCTAGTACAATATTCAGAATATCTTTGGTCATAAATCTTGGTCTTTCCTTCTTCCTCTGTCTTTGTAATGACCTTTTGTATTCTTCGCACATGATATACTTAATATCTTCTTACAGCTCATCTGATCTTCACTCATTAGTGCTCAAGGCCTCAAATCTGCTCCTAAGATGGTTTTTAAATTCAGATGGGATAGATTCAAGGTGAAAATTTGGTTTTTGTGGATTTAATTTTCTTTAGCTACAGTTTGAACTTGCATAAGAGTAGTTTATGGTCTGTTCCACAATAAGACTTGGCCTGGTTTTTACAGTTGATACTGAGCTTCTTCAACGATTTTCCCCACCTACATAATCAATATGATTCCTGTGTAGGCCCTCAGATGAAGTTCATGTACAGCTACTGTTTGAGTAACTTATAAAATTTAGTTGCATTGATTGTACAGAATATTGTCACTTTATCCCCAGCTTCATTTCTGTAATCAAGTCCTTGTTTTCTGCCAATCTATCCTTCTTCCCTGTTCCCACCATTTGCATTCCAGACATCCATTATTATTAATGCATCTTCTTTGCATGTTCAATCCATTTCTGACTGCAAAAGTTGCTAGAAGTTCTCTATTTCCTTCTCTTTGGCTTTGTTTCTGATGCATATATTTGAATGATGATGGTATTAATAAGCCTTCCTTGTAGGAATATGGATATTATCCTGCCTCTTACAACACTGCATTTCAAGATAGATCTAAAATTGGCCTTTTAAACTATGAATACAGAGAAAAGTGCAGGTAAGAATTGGAATGAGAGGGAAACTCACGTGTTCCATTGAGAATGATGCCACCTGAAAGGGTTTTGGCCTTGGAATGACTGAATATGTAGGAGCAGAACTTTTCAACTTGGTTTACAAACTCAGGGTTCAACTCTTCCTTCTGGAGGTTCTCAAGACTAGTAAGGTTCCTGGTCTCAACAGGTTGGTAAAAAATAAAGCATTTCTTCTCAGGGAAGAACTTTCGGATGCATAATCGAGGCTCATTAAAGCTTTTAATCTTTGGATCAGTACCTGAGGGAGTGGAAATTAGAGGCAATACAATTTAAAATAATTACTATAAATAACTGAGTCCTCTACATCTTAATTTTATAAGGTCTATATAAATAACACTTAGCAAATTGTGGACCAGACCTTTTTTTAAAAAGGATTTGTTGCAAGAATAAAAACCTGGTTCTAGTTCAAAGATTTTTATAACCTCTAGCACTATTGCTAGGCAAACATGGTTAAGAAGTAATAATTTTTAAGCATCTACACAGACATTGGAATCATTATTGTTTATATCTCTTTTTGCTACTAAATCACCAGCCCCAGGCACCTTGTTTTAGCTTTAGTGAACGCTCCAGGTATTCATCAGCAGTGATGGGTTGTCCATCTGCTTCCAGATCTAGGGAGAAATCTCTGAGAGCCCACACAAAGGAAGGGAAGAAGCTCACAAAGTTAGCTGAATCATCAGCCTCCCTGATACTGGGCAAGGATTTTGCCCTGATTCGATCTGTCAGCTCAGTCACATAGCTGAGGTATTAATTTAGGAAAAGAGCAGAGAAGTAATAACACTTTAAATTCTCCTTTCTCTAAATTTTTATCTGAAACAATTTTTCTTCTTCATTTTATTTTTCATTCATTCATACAGTCCACAAATATATTTTTTAACATCTTTATAAAGGAGGGACTGTCCTAGGAATTAAAAGTAGTATAATTCATAAGATAATGCTGTCATCATAACTATAAGGGAGGCTGGCAATAAACAAGGAAACAAAAAATATAGTAAAACATCAGTTATAGAAAATGATTATTGTGAAGAAAAAGAGATCCAGTGAAAGTATAAGGGAATATTTATATATGCATCCTCTCTTAGTTCATATTTGAACTTCATAGTCATATTCAGAAATCTGAATGAACAGAGTCATCAATCCATCCCTATAGAAAAATATTGGAGAAGTCTTCCTGGTAGACACAATCACACATACAAATTCTTAGATATAGAATAAGTGAGTACGTCTGATATATAATAAAAAAGTTAATGAGGCTACAATACATTCCAAAAGGTAGAGATTAGACCATGGAAAACATGGAGGACACAATAAGGGATTTAATTTTAACCTAAATTTAATGGTTATCCATTGGGAGTTTTTAAGCCCAAGGAGACCATTAGATCTGACATCTATTTTTAAAATATCTTCATTTAGTTTGTTCCAACAGGACAAATATTTTGTGAATCCACCCTTTTTTTTGTTTTTATTATTATTATTTTGTGTGCATGTACCGTCAAATCAGATCTGACTGGTACAGGAGGATATTGCGCCTCCTTCTCCGGCAGAGCATCTGGTGGATTCGAACCGTGTTTTTCTGGGATTGCAGCGCAGTTTCTTGCCACTAGGCCACTGAATCCACTCTTTTAAAAAGTAGAGAAGGATTTACACATAGAAAGAAAAGAATCTGGAATGATTATCAAGAATGGGAATGGATGTGAAGGGTAATAAAATTCAATAGCAAGATAAAACACATTTACAAAGGTGACGTGAAAGACAATATAAGGGATATCCAATAAATAGGGTAGAGTTATAAAGAGGTTCAAAAGAAAGTAGAAATTAAAAAGAGAGAGATACCATTGTAGTTAGTGTAGCATCTGCAAGAAACAAATATATAAACAAGGAATAATATTTATACAGCTCAAGGAGTTGTTGTTGTTGTTCTGTCAAATCAGAACTGAACCGTAGCTGACCCTCTAGCAGGTATTCAGAAGCAGTAAATCGCGTGGGAGGAGACTGTCCACCCTTCTCCCACAGAGCAATTGGTGGTTTAGAACCTCATGCTTTTGGGATTGCGGTAAAACGTCTTACCATTGGCTACCAGATCTCCCTGCTCAGGTGGTAAACTAAATGAAATATAATGGAAGCCTTAGTCTATAACTGTTAAAGAGAAGCATGTGAGGATTGTGCTGGAGAAATTCTTTTAAATGATGCTGACAGGACTTGCTTATTAATTGGTTAGAGTAAAAGAAGAGGCATTCAGGACCATTTCAACATTTTTACATGATGATATAAGAACTTGCTGTGATAAAGAATACTGAAAAAGAGTAAATTTAATGTGAAAATAAAGAGTTCTGTTTTGGAGATATTAAGTTTGATGTGTTTCTTACTCATCTAAACGGACATGATAAGGGTTGCTGGATATACAAGTTTAAACCTGAAAGCAAAGGTTATGTTTGCAGAGCTATTTGATGATATTTACATGAGTAATACCAAGCTTTAAGCTGAATGAGATCACAGAGAGAAGTTGAGTAGATACAGGGGAGAAAATGAGGAGGAACTAAGACTGTAGTATTTAGAGACCAAGAAAAGAAAGAGATCGGTAACAGTATAGCCAATGACGCAGCTATAAAATTAAAGAAATCTTGCAATCCAGACAACAAAACAACCAAGCGTTTAGAAGGGTAGAAGAGATTTTTCTTGTTTTAATTCAAAGTTAAATAAGAAGTGAACTGGGAACTGGACTTTAGATACTGTTTTTGTTGTTAGGGACTGTCAAGTTGGCTTCCACTAAAGGCAACCTTGTGAATAATAGATCTGAACCTGTTCTGCCCTCATCATCTCTGGCTTTGAGATACAAAAATGTGAAATCTATCCTGACAAAAAAAGTAATTTCATGCAAAGCTTGAAACCAAAATGATAAAGAAATGATATTGTTACTATGGGTAATGCAAAGATGTGAAAGAAAAGCTTATTAGGAAATATGAAACTGAAAGTTGCTGAGTATCTATTGATTGCTCAAGTCTCTAGAAAGACAACAAACTAAAAGCTAAAAATCTCTAATAAATGAAGCATTTTTTATTGAGAAGTTGGTAGAAGATGGCAAGAAATATCAGTGATACTGTCAGAGGGCATACCTTTCAACATAGATTCTGTTTTTTACTGGTACTAGAGAAAGTATATTGTAACTGTAATAAGTAATAAGAATAGCATCTAATTTATTTCTATGTTCTGTGCAACACAAAGAACAAGAAATAAGACAGATAAACAATAAGGACCATTTGAGTAGCATTATTGACAGAGGAAAGCCAGGTGTGCTTAGAAAAGAAACATTTAGAGAAAATGATACATAGATTTTTGTTATGATGAGAACAAGCATTCCAGAAGACTTTGAGGATTGAGATTAGAAGGAAGTTTGAAACAGAGATAAAGTACAGAATCTTGCAGAGGTAAAGATAATGTGTGATTAGAAAATTATCGTCTCAGGGTGATTGAAATAAACTTGGTTATTAATTATAATGTGATTCATCATGGAGGAGACTTATGAATTCTTCTGTGACTGGTGAAAAAAAGAAGCCTTTATTTTCTGGATTTGGTTTTATTTGGGACCACAAAAGGATACTGCAGTTGTTCCATGGCTTGCTGGTTGATGATTCCCATGCTGTTGTATATGAAGGTGCTGCTCAGCAGTATTGCCAAGGCAAAGATCCAGGAGTCACTCTGATTGTCTTCCTGGAAGTCAGAGCAGAGACCACATAGAATAGTCACTAAGAACATATGCTTTCAATTCCAACAGATGAAGTCTGAATTCCCGTTTTAGATATACATTTCCCTGTGTATTTATTTACCATCTCTACCATTATTAATATTTTGATCTTACTTAGGTGGACAGTCAACATTCTTGGCACCAGTAGTGAAGAAATCAAAAGATAAGTTGCTTTGGGAAAGTCTGCTGGCAGGGACCTCTCTAGAGGGCTAAATAGCAACATGTTAGATTAGAGACTAATGAATGTCTGATCCAGGCGATGATCTTCTCAATCACTTGCTAAATATCTGAAGGCTGTACAATGAGTTAGGATTACAAAAAAAGAATCGATGCCTTTGAACTGTCGTGCTCAAAAACAATATTGAACATACCATGGACTGTCAAGAAAACAAACTAGTCTGTCCTAGAAAGGGTGAACACAAGTTGCTCGTTGGAGGCAAGGATTTTGAAGCTCCGTCTCACATACATTGGGCATGTGGCCAGTAGGAACAGTCCATGGAGAAGGTCATTCTTGGGAAGGTAGAGGGACAATGAAGGAAAGGAATACCTTGGATGAGATGATTGATACAATGACTGTGGCATTGGGAACAGATGTGTCAATCTCCTGATTGGCTCAAGATAGGGCAAGGTTCAGAGCTATGATTCACTGACTGGCTCACTATGATTCTCAGTTGACTTGAGAGCAAATAACGACAATGAATTTTTTAACATCCAATTTATGGTGTTGAGAAATTTAAATAAGATATCGTGATCAAATGCATGTCAGAGTGTTATGCACATAAGCATTTGAAAATAGAGATAATGACTGGCTACAGATATACAAATATATCTCCTTAATTTAGATATTGCCCTCTTCCCCTTTAATGACATATCATATTATTCAATTTTAACAATTCTTTAAAGCATAATACTTTTAAGAGTACTAATACTTCTTTTTTTATCAGATCTCAGACTTTAATTTGTAGTTCTGCTATAGATAAGACCATTTTTTAACATTTTTCTGAATCTCCATTGTTAAACGCCACACATGTTTTGTAAAGATGTAATCTTTGCAGTCAGGATTAGAAATACTTTAAACAGGTTCAGCAAAATATTATGCCATGTTTTGTGTGAAAGACACATGGCTGAAAATATCACTAGCCATTATTGTGTAGTCTATTGGACTGCATATCCTAATGGACTATCATACTCTTTCCCTGATAATTCAGTGAAATTATTGGTACATGATTTGGGCAGACTCTCAAATCAGTATTATGCTCAGAGCTTATATTTCTTCCTCAGCCCCCAGAATAGTCTTCATTTGGCTAATAAATTAGATCCTAGGTCAAGCTTTCAGTGCAAAAAAAGTAATTCACTTTTGTGATCAGCTGAAAACGTAAGTTAATATTTGAAGAACTCAGTCAGAGGCTGTCTAAATTATGATTGGCATCCAGTCCTTGGAGAAGGTCATCATGCTCAGAAGGAAGGAGGCACAGCACAGGGTAGGAAGACCCCAGATGAGATGGACTGATACAGTAACTGGGCCAAAGGGGGTAGGTATGTCAGAGTCAGTGAGAGTGGCTTCAGAGTTGCTGTACATAGGATCGCTAAGGATCTCAGGTGACTCGATGTGACATAACAACAGCCACAATACCACCACTAACAACAAAGTACGTATATGCATAACATTTGAGAAATTGTTATGTGCTGTTGTCAGCTGTGACTCATAGCAGCCTTATATATATAGCTCTGAACCTATTTTTTAAAATGAAAATAAAGTTTTTGTTTTATACTGGTTTACTTACAAAGTTCATATACATTGTTTTTCACACCAGATATTTTCTCTGTCCTTTACCTACCCTCCCCCCACCTTTTTTGTGCAACATTATGATTAATCATCTCTACCCAACTCCTCCACCTATACTAAACCCAAATTTTTTTTTCTTTTTATTGCCCCCCAATTTCCTCCCTTGGATCCTCATACACATTCAATAATGGCCTTATATAGTATTTATCTTATGGGACTGAGTTAGGTCACTTAGCATAATACTCTCCATCCATTATCTTGTAAGTTAGGTAGTGATTTACAAAATCATTACTCGTGCTTGCTTTCTAGTATACCATAGTGTGAATTTACCATAATTTCTTAATCCATTTGATTCTGGTTGGAAATTGGGGCTGTTTCCATGTTCTTGCGATGGTGAATAACATTGCTATGAACACTGAAGTAAAAGTGTCTGCCTATGCCTCAGTTTTCATTTTTCTCAGGGTATATTCCAAGTAGTAGAATAGCTGGGGCATATGGAATTTTTAAGTTTAGCTTTTTGAAAAAATGCCAAAGTGCCTTCCAGAGTGGTCGTACCATTTCACAATACTACCAACAATGTTTAAGAGTTCCTATCTCTCCATATACTGTCCAACATTTACTATGTGCTATCCTGTTAAACTTTGCCAGTGTTACTAGAGTAAGGTGGTATCTAATTGTAGTCTTGATTTGCATCTTTCTTATTGCTAGTGATTTTGAGCATTTCTTCATGTGTTTGTTGGCCACCAAAATATCTTCCTCTGTGAAAAGTCTTTCTATGTCTTTTGCCCAATGTGTAATTGTGTTATCACTTTTCTCTTGTGGAGGCCCTGTCGGATTCTGTAAACTTTTGATATGAGACCATTGTTTCAAATGGTATTGCCACATGTTTGTTCACAGTCAGTAGGTTTCCTTTTCACTCTATTGGAAAATGTTTTTGATGCACACATAGATTTAATCTTTAGAAGGTCTCAATCATCATTTTTGTCCTCTTCAGATTGTTCCTTTCTGTCTGTAGTTCGCAGTCTATGTATACCATAGACTAGGCCATCTAAGCTTGATCCTCAATTGTCTCTTATAAACGTTATAGTTTTGGGCTTTACTCCTAGGTGTCTGATCCACATTGAGTTGATTTTTGTGTATGTTGTGAGATATGGATCCTGTTTCAGCTTTCTGCAGGAAGCATTGTGACAAGAGAAGGAAATTAATTGCATCTAGACAGGCACAGAGATGGCTGAACTGTTGCTATATCCAGATGCTATGATAATGTCCATAGAAAACTCTGAAAACTCTACAAAAACCTGTTAGAGCTAGTACACCGATAAAGTGGCAGGGTTAGAATTAAAAAAACAATAGGAATCCTCTACAGTAACAAAGAGAACGTAGAGAAGGAAACCAAAAAAGCAATACCATTTACAATAGCCAACCCACAAATTGAGCTACTTGGAAGTAAACCTAACTAGAGACACAAAAGACCTGCTCAAAGAAAACTACAGAGCATATCTGCAAGAAACAGTAAAACACCTAAATAACTGAGAAAATGTGCCCTGTTCATGACTCAATATTGTGAAAAATACAATCTTACCAAAAGTAATCTACATGTTCAAGACAATCCCAATACAGATACCAAATTCATTTTTCAAGGAGATTGAAAGGAAATTGTCAAGTTAATTTGGAGAGTAAAGAGACTCCAAGTAAGTAGAGCATTTCCCCATAATTTTTTATGTTTCTCACAGTCAAATATCTTTGTATATTGAATGAAACACAAGTAGACATCTTTCTGGAATTCTGTTTTCAGCTAAGATCCATGTGAAATCAACAATTATATCATCAGTTCTAGCATTTTTCTGTGAATGTACTGTTCAAGCTGGGGGTTTTGAATAATCTTCAGCAAGATCATCTTGCATATGTAATTAATTATAATTTATAGTTTCCACATCCAGTTGGGTCACCGTGTTTTGGAATGTTAACATATATTGATCTCTTCCAGTCAGTTGGCCAGATTGCTGCTTCCAAATTTCTTGGCATAGACTAGTGAGCTGATCCAATATTGCGTCTACTTGTTTAGACAGATCAATTACTAACCCATCAGTTCCTAGGGATTTATTTTTTTCAAATATATTCAATGCATCTTGATCTTTTTCCTTCCTTGGTCCTTGAACATATGCTACTTCCTGAAAAGATTCAGTGTCAACCAAATATTTTCTGTACAATAACCTTCTAAATTCTTTCAATGATCTTTTGATGCTTCCTGCAATGTTCAATATTTTTTTCATAGATTCCATCAGGATTGCAAGTTGAGGCTTCTATATGTTGTTCAAGTCTCTTGAGAAAAATCAAAGTCTGTTCTCTTTTAATTTTTTAACTCTATTGCCACATTTTGTTACTATACTTCACGTTGTCTTCTCAAGATGCCCTTAGAAATCTTCTATTCATCTCTCTTATTTCAGCATCCATTCTGTTTATTTTGAGCTTTGTTCACATAGCGTTGTTATTGTTTTCAGGTGTCTGTCAGTCAACTATGACTCATAGTAATCCTATGAATGATAGAGTTTAACTTTGTCCATTCCTGTGCAATCTTCACCATCTCTGATGTACTCAAGCCCATTATTTGTGTGTGTGTGTGTGTGTGTGTGTGTGTGTGTTTATTAATTTAAATGAAAGTTTACAGACACTTAGAGTTTCCATTCATTGTTAACCCATCGTTTTTAGGGTCCTCTTCTCCTTCACAAATTCTCCATTTTTCTAAGTATGATGTCCTTTTTCAAGAAATAGTCCATCCTGACAACATGCCCAAAGTATGTGAGATGAAGCTTCACCATCAAAGAAACACCCTGGCTGCACTTCCCTAAGACAGATGTGTTTGTTATTTTGGAATCCATAGGATATCCAGTACTATTCTCCAACCCCACAATTCAAAAGCATTATTTCTTATTTCTCTGTGATTTTATTTTTTCATTGCTTATCTTCAGAAGCATAGCAAACAGTTGAAAATATCATGGCATGGATTTTTGAAAAATCATGTTTTTTTGATGTTGCAGTGTAATCCATGTTGAAACCTCTAACTTTTGATCTTCTGTGTCAAGGCTTCAAGTTCTTTTAACTTTCTGTAAGCAAGGTTGTGTCATCTAAATATTCTACGTTGTTGATGGGTCTTCTTCCAATCCTGATGCCACGTTCTTC